TACCAAAATAAAATCAAGACCAGATAAACAATTTCAATAGACCTATAATCCCTAAGGAAATAGAAACAATAATAAAAAGTCTCTCCACCAAAACCAAGCAAACAAAAAAAAAAAAACAGGGCTGGATTATTTCAGCACAGAATTCTACCAGAATGTCTAAGAAGAGCTGTTACCTATGTTCCTCAAATTTCTCCCCACAATAGATACAGAAGGAACATTGTCAAAATATTTTTATGAGACTACTGTCACCCTGATACTCAAGCCATACAAAGACTCAACTAACGAAGAGAATTACAAAACAGTCACCATCATGAACTTTGATGCAAAAATACTCAATAAAATATTGGCAAACTGAATTCAAGAACGCATTTTTAAAAAATCATCCACCATGATCAAGTAGCCTTCATCCCAGAGATGCAGAGATGTTTCAACATACAAAAATGTAATGCACCATATGAATAAACTGAAAAAAAAAACTATATGATCATCTCGATAGATGCTGAAAAAGCCTCCAACAAAATCTAACACCTTTTCATAATTAAGGTCTTGGAGAGATCAGGGATATAAGAAACACATCTAAACATAATAAAAGCAATATACATCAAATCAACAGCCAACATCAAATTAAATAGAGAGAAACTCAAAGCAATTTCACAAAAATCAGGAACAAGTCAAGGTTGTCCACTCTCTCCATATCTATTCAACATAGAGGTCGAAGTTCCAAATAGAGCAATAAGACAACAGGAAAAAGGGGATACAAATTGGAAAGGAAGAAGTCAAACTTTTGATATATGGAGATGATATGATAGTATACATAAGTGACCCCAAAACCTCTAACAAGAATCTGCTACAGCTGATAAACACCTTCGTTATTGCAGCCAGGTAAAAGATCAACTCAAAAAAACCAATAGCCCTTAAATATACAAATGATAAAAGGGCTGAAAAAGAAATTAGAGAAATATCATCTTTTACAGTAGCCACAATCAACATAAAATATCTTTTTTTAATTTTTTTTGTTTTTTTTACTTTTTTATTGAGAAAAGGGAAAAAAAAGTTTCCACCTCCTCCCAGCCTCCCATTTCCCTCCCCCTCCTCCCACCC